TTCTGCTGCCACAGGGGAGCCAGCGGATCGCAGGGAGAGCCAAAAAAAACAACCCAGGACAGCACTCACTGCCACAACCAGCGGCATCCCCAGGGGCGGCCCAAACACCGGGAGACCCGACATCCCACTGGGAACCGGCACACGGCCCCACCCCGTCGGGCACAGAAAGGCCAAATCTCTCACATCTCTCTGAAAATACACCAAGTCACAGAACGGGAAGGTAATTGAAGAGGTATCTAAAGCGCGAAGGCCTCAGAGGGACCAAAGGGACAGTCGGGCCACAGTTTAGTTTGCATCAGAGCAGCCAGAAGAACAACTGCAGAGAGAGAGAGAGAGACAGAAACAGCCACTGACGTGTTAAAGCAGCAGAAGCCAAGTGTCAGGAGAAACACCATCCTCACGCCACTGGGAAGAGATCTGCTGGGCATTTTTTTAGTTTCCTTTTCCGAATTAGATGCCGAAAACTCAAAGCTCGAGTTTTTCAACGTTGCTATTTCAGTACAATATGAGACTTCAGGTTTCCATTTGTTATACAGCAATTACTGTCAAGCCTCTCTGCTCTCCCAGTCCTCGCAGGCTGAGCCGTCTTAAATTCCTTCTCCGAATGACATTTTGAACTCCTACTTGTTAAAAAAGGCAGAAACCAGTTTTATATTTTACTCTGGAGACAAGTGGAAAAACCTTTCAGCTCTGGCAGCAAGACAGCTCTGACGTATGGAACAGGCTTAGGGAAGGGAAGGCAACCTCTCACGGCCAAATTTTAACTGCTCTCAGAACAGGAGAACGCCGTGAAACAGAGCAGAAGCGACCCCAGCAAAACCCCACTCCGCTGCAAAGAGAAGTCTGATTGAATACATCGGTATTATTTATCTGTCATTTCTTCCGAGAGTGAAAGCGCTGAGTTTAAAAGATCGTTACTTACGCGACATCTTAAGAAGAAATCCTTGTAACCCCCCTTCAGGACGTACAGCTCTGGGTAATGGAGGTTGGGGTATTCGTTACCCAGCCTGTCCCGCTCTCTCACAAACCGGCACCTGTAGCAGGGTAAGATCCTCCATTAAACCTCACATTCAGCAAATAACACATTAAAAGAGCGTTCACCCCAAATTTCCCATTCCTCGCATTAAGGAAGCGAGCCACAGCCCATCAGGAAGAGGCGGACAAGCCGCACCGGCGCTGTGGCTAACTGGTTTTTCCCTGGCCACCTCTAAGCATCCCAGCACACCAGCCCAACTTCAACACGGCCCATTCGCATCACGGGTTGTGTCACGGCCCCACCAGAGGTGACAACCAACGCCTACTTGTGGGAAACCGCGTATTGAGTAGCGTGCCAGCACAGTAACCCCTGCCACCCCGAGAGCTTTGCCCCCCAACGGCCCCACCAGAGGTGACAACCAACGTCTACTCGTGGGAAACCACGTATTGAGTAAGCGTGCCAGCACAGTAACCGCTGCCACCCCGAGAGCTTTGCCCCCCGCTGGCACAGCAGTACGTTCTTATCTCGGGGAGCGTGGGATAACTCACATTCGGGGGCCCCGCTCTGAAGAAAACTCGCAGTGGAACACTATTATCACTCGTTTGTTCTCCGATGGCTGGATTGGCTTCTTCAGCA